GGGGGGGGTAGGGGGAGACGAGACGCGCATCCATCCGTCTATCCACACACCGGCCGTCCCGCCGACTCCAAGATGGCCGCTGCGGTAAATCTCTACACTACTCGGAGCTTCCGCACACTACTCGCCGGACTAGAGATCGCAATCGACCCGGCCCACGCCTCACCGCTGCCGGCCGTGTGTCGGGGGCGGAGCGGTCCCGGCCCGTCCCTGTTTGTCCCGCTGGGGTCGGTGTATTTTACTGCTGGGGATCCCTACTACCTCTCCTGTCTCGCTCCCGCCCCCGGACCGGACCGGACCGGACCGGCCGCTCTCCGTGGTTTTGCCCGTCCCGGGGTTTGTTTGTGCTCCGGGCCGAGGGCCGGGCGGCGCTAGCGGTGGTCGTCCCACCACACCGCCGCAAGTCGACGCAAGAACAACGGCCACCTGGGCCACTGCCACCCTCCCGGCCACAAACTAACGCGAGTGATGGCGCCACCCGCTCGGCGGCGTGGGTCGGCCGTAGAGAGGCTCTCGCTCTTACGCCCTTCGAACACTCCGCCCCAGGGCGCCTGGCGCCACCGCGCCGCCGCGTGTCCCTGTGGCAACAAACCGTCAAGGCCATCTTTTCGAATGTGGTCAAATTGCGGTGCTGCGGCTGGGGGGCGCAGGGGTGGCCGACCCCCACCCCGACAGCCCCTCCACCTCCACCCCCAGGCGGGGGCCCCCGGCGGCGCCGCCAGACCCCTCGCGACTTGGTGGCGCCAGCCGCTGTCTTGCGTGCGCCCTGCCACGCCCCGCCACGCCCCGCCGCGGGGGCGGGGGGCCCCTATCGGGGCTCGCTGCCGTGCGGCCGGGGCGGGCTCTCCCCCTGTGACTAAGGCTCATTTTCCCGGCACGCCAAAGTCAAGTTACTAGGTGCTGGGCACAGTTCTCGGAGTCCGGGTGGATACACTGCTTGTAAAATAACCCCGGCTGTCACCTGTAATCAAGTACGTGTCAGCGAAAAACTTAAAATTAAAAATATTTTTCGTCAATCTTTTATTATTTCTCTCAAAATCGCTAGGTTTGTTAACATTGCAACTATGCTTTTGTAACTTTCCAGATGTAAAAAAAAATTATGAAATATTGTCCTGAATTAGTGTCCCATTAAAACGAGAATCTCAGTGACTTGTATTTAAAAAATTAGAACAAAAGAAAGAACTTGGTTTCGCATGTATAAATTACAGTGTACTGCGGGCTTGTGTAATCGGTTCTCGGTTCTCCCCCACCGCGACTCCCACCTCCAAACTGGGCCGCTACCCCCTATGTTTTCACAATTTTCTGCGTTACGGTTGGTAAAGGCAGTAAGGGAAGGAGGGCAGCAATCGCTGCCCTCCGCAGGGCCGGGGGCTTAAGGCCGGTGCTCACGTGTGCACCCCCCTCTCCCCCTCCTGCTCCACCCTCCAGGACTACCACAGTGAGGAGGCGTGAATTATTACGGCCAAGTCCGCAGGGCGGTGATTTCCCTTGCTCCCTTCGGTTAATTCCCCCCTTCTCCTACTCCGGACCTTTTCCAAAAGTAATAAAGTAATTTGGAAGCGTGATTTCCCGTGAGGGTGCGCCTTCCTGCCGCCCCCTCTCGCTTTGCGGCGGATTGATTCCGCGCCGTTGAGTGCCTCTGCTGCGGACGTCTCATGTGAACCGCCGGCTCTTGTTTCCTCTGATGGCGCTGCTATAACCCCAGGGCTAACTCCGTTCTCCTCGTCTGTTTGCAGCCTCCTGAACGTGAACAGCGCTGCCCTGGACGGCTCCGACATCCCGCACATCCCGGGGCAGCTCAACAACGACCTGTACGCGGTCGCGGTGAAGCGGCGCCCTCCGCCGGCCGCCCAGCCACCGCTGCCGCCCCCGGGCCAGGAGGGCAGCCCGCTCACGCCCTCGCCGGACTCGCCCACGGGGCACACCCCCAAGGAGAACCTGCCGCCCGGCTGGGAGCGCCACGAGGGTGAGTTGCAGTCCTTGTTGTTTCCGGTACCCTCAATTTCCGGCATTCTCAGAAACAGTTTCTAGAAAGTTCTATTTTAACTACATCTAAAAGTTCAATTTTTACCCATTTTCTGGAAACATTTCAATTTTTTCCAATTTTTTTTAGCAGATGATACCTTAAACCTTTTGACTAAACATAAAGAATATATAAGAAACTTAAAAGTGTCAGCTAGCTTTTACTCTCGATAAGTACAGAGAACCAAGCGCAGACCAGAAAACAGCATTTCTTTGGCGCAGAGTGAGTGAGTGAGTGAGGGAGTGAGTGAGGGAGGGAGTGAGTGAGGGAGTAAGTGAGGGAGTGAGGGAGGGAGTGAGTGAGTGAGTGAGTGAGTGAGTGAGTGAGTGAGTGAGTGAGTGAGTGAGTGAGTGAGGGAGTGACGGAGGGAGTGAGGGAGGGAGTGAGGGAGGGAGTGAGGGAGGGAGGGAGGGAGGGAGGAAGGTCCCATCCATGGCCGCGGCTGCCGCCCGGTACGCGCCCTCCTCCCTCCCCTTTATAATAAGACGATAAACGAGAAAAACATTTAAAATATGATGAGAAACCATCACAAATAAAAATCAAACTAGAAATATTAAAACACAGGTATACTATAGTATATTTAAATTGGTATCATCTGCTTTCAAGATAGATTCTTGATTTAGATTTTTCTTGGTAAGTTTAAATTTTCCCGAAAAGTTTTCTGACTGAATTTTGTTTTTGTTCCTGTTGCAGACAATGACGGCCCTTACTACTGGCACATCAAGAGCGGCACTATCCAGCGCGAGCCGCCCGGCCTGGACACGCCCACGCCCGGGGGCAAGTCCAGGGACTCGGCGCTGCTCTCCAAGGACACGGACACGGTACGACAATTGTTGTCAGCTTCTTTTTGTCTTCAGCATATTTGCATGTCTGGGACGGCCCATCTTGACGTTATTGTGGTGGTTGCAGACGCTGTCCGCGGTGGTGTCGTGCGTCACGCGCAGCAACACGAGCTCCGCGCTGGAGGAGCTGTCGGGGCAGCGGGACCGCGACCGCGACCGGCGCGAGGAGCTGGCGCTCAAGCGGCGCAGCTACCCGGCCAGCGCCACCCCGGGCGCCAACCCCGCCGGCGGGGCCGCGCGCGGGCCCGGCATGGGCTCCATGGGGATGGGCAACTCGCTGGACGCGGGCGACGCCAAGGAGCGCCCCATCCGCTTCGCCGTGCGCTCACTCGGCTGGGTGGAGATCGCCGAGGCGGACCTCACCCCGGAGCGCAGCAGCAAGGCCGTCAACAAGTGCATCGTGGACCTGTCTCTGGGCCGCAACGACCTCCTCGACGTGGTCGGCCGCTGGGGAGACGTAAGTTGTCTGCCTGACAAGCATGGAATACAATGCCTTTTTCTAAAGTTTCTAATCCAGAATAATTGTAGAATTTTGAACTGGACAGACTTTAAATAATGTGCATTCCTCTTATACACAGGGAAAGGACCTGTTCATGGATTTGGATGAAGGAGCATTGAAACTCATAGACCCTGAAAATTTAACACTTCTCAACACACAACCAATCCACACAATAAGAGTTTGGGGAGTTGGTCGCGATCACGGCAGGTATGTTAAACTCGTTCTCTTTGTTTCCTTGTTTGGATATTGAAGTTACAATAAAAAGATTGCATGCAACAGACTTTTAATATCTTCATATATGGATTGCTGTTTGAAAGTAATTTAAGTGTGGAAATTTAATTTTTGAGCTCTAATGTAATAAGCATTCAGACTCTTGCAGTAGAATACCAGTTAATGAATTTTTTCGTATAGTTATATGTAATTTTTCCCAAGTCCCTTTACGTATTTATACTGTTGTTTTCTTTTGTACAATATCCATGAAAATTCCATTTTAGGCCGCAATCTTAATACTTTGGCCATATACTGTTTTGATAAAAATGAAACTATTTCATTCATGATTTTATAACATAATTCATAACATAAATCTAATGTACTTTTTCTCTTACAATCTCTATTCAATGATGATTCATCTTCAGGGAGAGGTAATGATTGTCTTATTACTAAGCCATTTGTGCATTCAAGCTTCATTTTAATTTGCAAGCACCTAAAATCAACAAACCTTGCATTTCTATTAATAAAAATAATGCAGAGAATAATTTGACTTTTAATGCTTTTGCTTTCATAGGATGAACTCACTCAAGACAGCTTTGTTGCAAGTGCTTCTGTCATTGTATTACTAAATTGTGTTTTGTGTTTGTGTGATGAATAATATGTGAATGCAAATGAATGTTAAAGCTTTTGTAAGCCTAGCAAAATCATCAGAATAGCTAGTCCTGCCTTAATTTTCAACATCTTGTAATCATAATTAGTTTGTGTTCCAATGTGATTCACGTAAATAGATGAGTAAGCATAGCATATTTTTTTCCATTGGCTCAAATATGCATTTTTCTATGGTGCCTATAGGGTAGTCTTCGTCAGCCTGCCACCGGCATCATAGCTTGTTGTTGTCTTAACTAGACCTGTGCACGCGCAACCTCCAGCTATCAGCTGTTGCACCTTACTAGGTATATGAGTAAAAAAAAAAATATTCTTCTGTTTTCCAGGGATTTTGCATACGTTGCCCGTGATCGCACTACACGAAAGCACATGTGCCATGTTTTCCGTTGTGATATTCCAGCCCGAACAATTGCAAATACATTAAGAGACATTTGCAAAAAGATTATGATAGAAAGAAGTCTGCAACAGAATCTTGCAAAGCCCATTGACATTGGTATGTGTATCAATATTTTAAAATATCTTTAGTTCTTGTAAGTTTCTCTGTCTTAAATAATTTTTTGACGTATCTTTACAGGACATGGAATATCTGGTAGGGCAGGTCTTGCTGCACGACCAACAAATCTCCCTACAGAACATCGACGTTTTCACCATCGTAGTGGCATGGCACTTGTCAGTAAGTATCTATCATGCAATCGGATTTTTCATGTAAGATATATCATAGTTTTTTTATTAACCACATCATAATTATTTGCAGCACAATCCTTTCCCACACCAATGGAGGAGCCACGAAAAGTCCTTCGAGCTTTGTACTTAGGCTCCGTACAAGTTGATAGAGCAACGGGAATGGATGTATTAAATGATGCCATTGACTTGCTATCTGGTGCTGCTCCTCAAGATCAATGGCGTCCAGTCCATGTTGCTGTGGCCCCATCAATGATCTCCATACTTAACCCTAGTGTAGGTGTTCACATTTAATCATCTGCTCAAACACAAATTTTGGATTGTTTTTTTAAAGTTTTACTATCAACTTTGTTCACTAAATTGTAAAACGTATTGATCTATTACGGATTCTGATTATTTTGGCAATTTGTGACATGCTATTTCATACATATTTTTGGTCTTTCAGGATGATACTTTAATAACAGAATGTCGTGTACGCTACTTGTCGTTCTTGGGAATTGGCCGGAATGTGAAGCAGTGTGCTTTTGTCATGCACACTGCACAGGATTTATTCATAGCACATGCTTTCCATTGTGAACCATCATCAGGTGCACTTTGTAAAACAGTAGAAGCTGCTTGCAAGGTGAGTTAAGCTGGTGGTTATTATTGTTAAAATTGTCTACCAAGCTTAAGTTTCTTTTCTAATTAACTTGATCTCACTTTTCAGCTACGTTACCAGAAATGTCTTGATGCTCACCCTCAAGGCTTCAGACAGCCTAGCACTAGTGCACAGTCACCTGGCAGAGGAATCGGTGCCACTTTAAAATCTTTGGTTGGCACGCTCACTGGCCGGAAAACTAAAGGGTCAGAATCCTGAGATGAGGCTCTTTCTCTGCAGGTCAGTAACCTTGCAAACCATGCAGTTTTATGAACAAAAAATCATCTTGTTTGCTGTTATACTTCAATGTTATTTCAAAATTATTTTTCAGGAACCTTTTCCTGCAGAGAAGGAGAAAGAACTTCCTGAGCCTCCTCGCGTTCGCCACCTGCAGTCTCCAAAGACACCACAGTTCTTTACCAGTGGTTGGATTGCCATGGCCATTAACTCTCCAGGATCAACTGGATCTGCAGGCACTCCCAGTGGGAGTCCTAGCCCTCACACGCCAAGCACTCCACTGAGTCCCAGCTCTCGGGCTCCCTCTATTGATTGGGAGGCTCTGGCAGCCCCTGTTTCTGCTGCCCCATAAGCAACGAGTGGGATAGTTTCTCCATCCACTTTTGGTGTCCTGTCGACGCTTCAAAAGAGGAATGTGTGCCCACTGAAAGTGAAGTGAAGTGAAGTGAAAGTGAAAGTGATGGTGAAGGACAGCTAGGAAAATAATTCAGTGTGATGTGATGTATTGACTGGAGGCAATACGCTGCAGGAATCTGCAGTGTGTCATTGTAGCATTAAATTCAAGTTGTGTGAATGAGAGATTCAATATTTGCAAATCAAGATTTCAGAACACTTTTCTTGGTTTGCATGAGACCAGATGTGTGCATGTGTATGACACCTGTTTTTTACCATGCTTTATTAGACTCACTACTAGAAAAATTAGTCAGGAAAGTGAGTCATGAATTTTAAAGTTATGGGACTGGAGTGCCACTAAAATGTGTATATCAATATGGAGATAGGAGCAGAGCAAAATATGCTTTTTCAAAGTGCCTGAGTTACATGGTCAGACGATTGAAAACAATTGCAAGACAACTCAGTGCTAAAAGAGAAGGTAGGAAGTGAATTTTTCTTTATGAACAAAAATGTTTTGGAGTGAGAACTTCAAATTTTGCACGTCTTGTAAAGAAAAACAGGGTTTTAGCTGCTCTTTTAATGTAAAGACAGTACCAATCCTACATGTGAATGATATTGTTCAAAATGGTAACCTTGGAGTCTCTTTTGATGAATCTCAGTCTCTGAGGAGACATTGTAAAATATAGTATGTATGCTATTTATTCTATGAATTCAACCTGTGGTTGATTTGGAAACATTGATCTAAGTTGACATATAAATATATTTACTATATATATATGTGTATAGCTTGAAATTCGAAATTTCACAGTATTACTAGAAAGTATGGATTTTCTAGACTATTCTATTTACATCATGGCTGTCTAGATGAGCCTGTAAGGTGTTTTTCCATTTACTTCATGGAAAGGGAATTTGAATGTTTAGTTCAGACATTCAGATTTATAGAAATTTGTTTGTGCAGGGAAACAATAATTCGACTTGATTCTTATGGAATATTTCACTGTGTGTAATCAAGTCTAGACCAGTTTCATTTTTGCCTTCAGCCAGCTTGCGTGCACTAGTGAAGTAATGTGCAATTTGTAAAAGTTCTATGCATTCACATTGAACTTTGTTATAGTCGTGCTTGCTGTGCCAGCTTTTAACAATTTTTGCTAAAATACTGGCAAATACAAGTTAGCAGCCATGCAATGACCCTTTATTTGTAAATGCTGAAATTTTAAGCTTGTAAATATGTCTGTACATGGTATTGCATGTATTGTGTTGTGACTGCAAATTTAAATCTTAGGGCTATTGTTCTTGTAGCACAAGCTGATATTGTAATCATCCTGTGGCTGAATCTAACTAGAATCCTTGATGTTCTCGTTTATCTGCTTTTCAGAGGTGAATTTCCTTTTTACAATTATGTTCCCCAGCTGTGTAAGTCCTTGTATGTATGTGTGTGTTCATAGATCAATCTGCTTTGCAAATTGAATTACGATGCATTGCATTACATATTGACAACTGTGCATCTAGTGACGTATGGAAATTTGTGAATCTAACTGCACGAACCTACCAATGTTTCTAAACTAAATGGTGCCCTTCACGTGAGGGAACCCAGTTTTCATTCATGAGTGGTTTATTTATATATGATGCTTGCAATCTTTATTTTTGTTAGTGCATTAGAAATTCATCTCATGTGTTAAGACCACACAAGTTCTTTTACTTTCTCAAAAACCCTACATCTTAAAAATGGTTTTACAAGCAAAGAGTACTAAGAACTAAGTTTTGTCTTCTATTTAGGTATTTGCTTGTGATGAATTCAGCTATGAGAATGCATTGTTTTAAAACGGAGATGTATTGTATCTGGGTTTGAGAGCAAACGTACTACTGGAGCAAGCATAAATGCTTGCAGTACTGCAAAAAAATGGAAAAGCTAGGTCATCAGGCAATCTTTTTAATTTCAACCACAATATTTTTTTATAAATTTATTGCACTATGGAGCATTGCCTTTGAGGAAAGAGTATAATTCCAGAACCAATTGATTTTGCTACTTACCTGACAGTATAATTTTCAATTTGAGCAGTTGGGCGGCTTGCCATTATTTTCTAACATGCTAATTGTTTCAAACAGAATGAGTTTTATTGGCCGAGTGTAATGCACTTTTCATTCTAGAGTGTTTGTTCTTATTAAAAACATACCTTGAGTAGGTAGCAATTATAAAAACACTAGGCGGAGAAAACATCAGCATTTTGAATGAGAATGTATTTAATCCTAAATGAGTCATTTTGTAAGGGAAATGTTTAAGATTTTCTTCTCTTGTTTTTTATAGCAATTTTGTTTTGTTTTACACAACCAAGTGCAACTTCTAGATATGCCTTTTAGGGTCTGATTTTTTACCATTAATATGTGTTATTTGTTGGTGTTAATTAAAGAACACACTAGACTTATTTGTTATATTTCAACTGTTTTTATTGTGTATCAAATATTTATTTATTTCATTGATTAATGTTGGCTTTATGTTATTGTTTCAAAGCAGAATATCTTCTTTATTTCTGTACCCCTTACTTTTATCTGTCTCACCTTTCACTGAAGTAGTAATACTGAACCTCAGCATTACTACTCACTGATACCTTGTTCATCCTGAATTATTTGCTTTTATTGTCAATTTCAAAAGTATCTTTTGAAAATAAAACGAATTTTTTGCAAAATTTGCTTTTTTGTATTATTTGTTGCAACAATCTTTCCAGGGTCTGATCAAGGGAGAGTCAGTTGGTTGTCAAGTTACACAAATTAAATTTCTTCATATTTTTGACAATCATACCACATTTACTCTACGTCATGCTGTCATTTGTATTTTGAATGCTTGAACGCGTGACCTGAAACTACAAGTTAGATAGCCCGTCTTCCCTCCTTCATAAAAAGAAAACAAAAAATAAAAGAAGTGTCATAGAGGGTCCCCTAGCACCCCCCCCCCCCTTCTTTTATAAAACGTAAATAGTCCCACATCTAGATGTTTTGGTGGGTTGCCTAATTGTCCGGCCATTGGCCCAACCCAGCCAGAACTGCCATGTCTAATAAACGTCTAAAGTGACCATTTCATTTAGACGTCTGAATGATCACCTTAGACATGGCATTTCTGGCTGGGAAGGGGCACCCTAAGTGTATTTAATTCATGTAAAAGATGAAGTCTGCTGAAGGCTCGTTGATGATATGTGGGTGTGAGAGGTTTGCAGTACCCATTTCTATTACCTGCGTTAGCCCCGATTTGGCCGTGGAATCGATGACAGGGGTGTTTCGACATCACTTCGACATAGATTCTCCCGATTCTCATCATCATTATCAAAGACCTCGTAAAACAGACGCCACCATGCCATGTTCTAGAACCCTTTACTAATCGATTATAATTGATGCTTCAAACTGAGCTACAGTCGCACCGACATTCTCAGGTTCAAATAACCTTTAGTTCCTCCCGCGCCCGCCGCTAGCGCTGCAGTCGTCCTCCCTTGTTTTGTCCCATGCCGCATTTCCGGCTCTCTGTTTGTCTGACGTTGTTGTTGGTGTGTTGGTGTCGTTCGTCGGCAAGTTTCGCGTGTCGCTTTGATTTCGACTGTGTCCTGGTTTTATCGGTGTATCCGGAAGTACTTTCTGTGTGTCAGACTTTCCCCACAAGTTTCTTAGTGTTAGTTTTCCCCCGGTGTCAGTTGTGAACTTTTATCTCGTACCCCCGTCTGGTGTTATTTGACCCACTAAACATAGTCTGCCGGCTCAATCAATGGCCATGCTTTTAACACCTCCCTGAACGGCTGAACGCCTCTAAGAACTATATCACGCATCACAGCTACGTGTTTCATCATTAGTGTGACAGCAATGCCTTCAACGTGGACGCACTGAAAATCCAAGTGTATGATTGTCGCACACTTGCAGCTTGCAGGTCAGTGAATTTTCATTCGCGCAATCCGAAAAATAAAACTGATTGTAATGTGCTCGGACTGGGAAGCATACAAACCTTGACGATCACGTGGTGCGATGATCAGAGTCTGATCACAGGTCATAACTCACCTACGACCCTGTTTGTAGCTTCACAGTTGTAGCTACATCCGACACGGCCATGGGCAGCTTCACATGAACCGACTGGAGGCCAAAGACAAAGTCCGATCGGCTTCGTAAAGTCCTCGCGCCTCTCTCACCATCCCCCTCCCCCACCCGGACAAAACATGAATAAAAGTGAGGGAGTAAGCTCTTCGGAGTGTATTTAGATTGTCCGACCTATTTTTCTCCGACCTCGTCGATATGCTGAAATTTGGGAAAACGTGGCTCCTGCAGTTATACTTTACCGCACGTTTGGTTTTCCTACCTCAGGGGGCCGTAGCGCCTAACGGGCATTGCAGGTAGGCAACACGCACGCCTGCGTGCGGAACAGCATAACCACGACGACTGGCGGGTTTGCCTACCCCAGGGGTGGCCAGAGCGCCTTACGGGCAGTGCGGCAGTGTGGCACTAAGCTTTTGGCGTTAATCACCCCCGTGTAACCGGAAGTTAAAATTCCTCTTAGAGCCGTATTCATTTTACCTGCAAAATTATCAAAACTGAAAAAATGTGGGCCCTACCCACCCCGCTTTGACAC